GGAATTTTTTCAAAAGTTGCTTCCGCTTGTAAAAAGTTTTGCTATTGAACAGTCAAAATCTTGAAAAAAAAGAAGATCTCTGAAAAGTCTTGGCTATTGAACAGTCAAAATCGCAGGTCTCTATCTCATTCCTATCAAAAGTTATTCAAAAAGTAACCATCGGCCTGACCATTTGGAACGGATAGTAGTATATTTATGTAATTCTATTAGACAATTAGTCTTAGATTGGTTATGTGGTCTAATTAGTCTGTCTGTGGAAGCCCCATAGCTGAAATAGCGTGTTAGCTATATTATTCATCGGTCAATCTAGTACTTAGTTTTAACTACTACGAATTTAATTTAGTAAATCTTGCACTCTTCTATTTCATTCAACAAAACAAAATACTTATGCAATTCTTATATCAGTTTTGCTAATTTTCATAAAATCAATTTGATCTTATTTTTCAATATGGGACTTCGATAGCTTATCTTAATTACGCAGAGCTCATGTGCTATTGAACACACAACATTAATGTAGGCTTGACAATAGTTAATTACTGGTTATTGAAGATCGTTCATTTACTTCGTAATATATTCAATTTAGGAATATGACACTTTAGACTGCTTCACGACTCCAGAATCCCTTTGGCTTGTAGGTGATGTTCGAATACATAGATAAAGTACGAACTATACATATTCTAAAAGAGTTCAAGAAGTCGGACTGTGACTTCCTTAAAATGCTAGATCTACATTACCAGACACAGTATAGAGCGATTGACATATTTTGACAATCCTTTTTGAACGCACAAGTGAGGAAAGGATGAAAATGAATGCGAGCGTCAAAAATAATTTATTTTTTTCATAAAATAACTATACATGAAATAAAAGCACTAACAGAAGACTTTTGATATTGAGCCAAGAAAATATTACAATATACATATAAAAGTATCAAAGAGAAGAAAAATAAATACTTATTATGCTTTTATACGCTAACACGAAGAAGATAATGAATGGTAATTAAACACACTTTAAGGGTACTCGTCGTTTTCGAAATTTTCTAGTTTTGGATCAAACATGACGCATGATACAGTGAAATATTGTATAAAAAGCAATATCACTTCCAACTCTTCCATACGAAATTTTTAAAGTTGTTTCCTCTACGCTGGAAAAAAATCTGTTTTTTAACTCTCAAAAATTCTTTCTTATCATCTCCACACTTGAAAATTTCTCCTTGAAAGTGGTTCATCTTATGGAACAAAGAGTTCTATACATAATCAGATGTTTTTTAGCTTTCACGTTGTTTTTTAATAGAGTTTTGCTGAAAATTCTCATAAAAATGACGCTTATTGCACAATACCCATGGTTCAAACATTGGGACGGTCTAACTAGAGTGTGCTGCGTTCATCCGATTGAGTCAAAAATTTTAACACAAAACCTGAGACGGTATCTCAGAATGGTATTTTTTTTCGTTCTTTCCGAGTGAAAGCGTTTTCAGAATCAAAAAACCAAAGTTTTATTTAGAGCTTTTATCACTACTGTTATATCTCGGGAAGAAAAAAATGAGAAACGGAAAAAAATATCGTTTAGAGCTTTTGTTCAGGTGTCTGTGGTCAAACTTTTGCCCGATTAGTTGCAGTTATTAGATGGCTGTATTGTACTCAAATGAAAAATGCCGTTTTCTAGGAAAGTCTTTGCTTCCACTTTTGATAAAAATTAGAAAAACGGTGGGGACCTTTAAAGTCAACAGCAGATCGTCTGTTTATTACTCTATTATGAATGATAATTGCTCTGAATGACAACAGACTGGAATTGATTAAAATATACACAGTTTTTAACGTTATCGTATAAGAATATGAGCAAGCAAACCACTATGTGAGAATTGTCGACGAATGGCACTTAAAATTGTTTGTCATGTATAATCTATGTTCAGGTTGTAACTGATTACCATCTCACAGATGATTTATATTCCTCTTTTAATGAAAGACGTTTCACTGTTTCATAGCCAAATATGACGAAAAGAGAATAAATACACGAATGTGTTAGCCTCGCTGTCAATCCTTTAGTAAAAATTGACATTCGCTCTTCTTGCCATAATTGTTTTATAATATGTCTGTATGGTCGTTTATCTTTATCAACTTGCACACGAGTTCGACATACGTCCAATGGATTTGTAAGTAACGTCGACGTTAATGAAGACAATGGTCCGGAGATACACTGTATGATAATTAATGGTAAATAAAATTTATCAATTTTTAATAGCTGATTCTGATAAAAATAGTAAGCGGGCCACCAAATACTAGAAGTTAAACCGAATAATGCACTTGATAATATGTAACCTCTATAAAAGGGTTTTACAGCATTTAAAATTTTACCATCCTGTTTATATTCGTAAAGTAGTGTCTGACAAATATGTTTGAATATTCGATAATTATTTGTGCGTACATCTTCTGGCACGTGTATTCGATTGATTTGTCGACGATTGAATTTAATAGTTGACTCAGATGTAAACGAATTCGTTGATGAGCCTGTTGATGCTGTTGCATATTTCGTTGATTTAGATGGTGCTTAAAGTAAAAGATAAATACAAATTTAATAATTAGAAGTTTAGGTAGTTGTTATCTCTTACTAAAAAATCGTCCAGAGCAAAAAAGGCTTCTGAGTGCAAACACACACAGCGTTTGGTACAGAAATATAATACAACACAAAGACTCACTTGTTAAACCAACGAGCATCATATGCTGACTGACAACGTCTATTGGTACAGCTAGAACCTGACTGGTGAGACTTGCAAAACCTCCTCCAATAGCGCTTCTAATGTATGTATTAGATGATATGTTTGACGCTTGAAGCCTTGTGGCTTCAAATGTCGTGATATATAAAAGACCTGAAATGAAAAAAAATGGTAAAATTTTGTATGATATAAACCGTAAATGAGTAAACAAAATTCACCTGGTATCAAATGATAGCTGTAGATCCAAAAGCCCCTATATAACGAATGAAATCCTTCTAATTTAACAGTTGTTTTCAATGCATCCCATGTGCCATTATAGATTGATTGTTGAACTTGCACTTGTAGTCTCGTTCGCACCAAAGTAAATGGATATAATAAACATCGAATAGTAAACGTTGAGAGTAATGATAATGGAAAATATAATTTTTTATCTAACATACTCCAATCAATGTCATAATTAGTCTCAACAGGTTTAGAATAAACATTCTCCGATACTACATCAGACATAACTAGTTTAGACAATGAATAAATTTCGTTTATCACTAACAATATGTGTTATGTATAACTAATCAAAATTGTTATAACACTAAACAGAGCAACAAAGTAGCTTTGAAATTGAAAAGTAGAATTACCATTTTCTTAGCCAACAGTACTAGTTTTAACGTTTTTTTTCATACCTGCATTTCTAACTTCACAAGTCTGCTACTTAATAGCGATCTAAAATATCAACAAAAAATGTATTTTTAATTTAACGAATATCAGTCAGACATTCACTAAAACTAGATGGAAAATGATTAGAACTAGAGTCATTCAGTAAAGCTAGAAATGATATAAATAAAACCGAAATTCTTCTATCCTCATAATGTTTTATACTCAGTATGTGAACAAAGTTAATTGTTGTTCTCTGATAGGTTTTGACTATATTTTGACTTTTTTTGAGGTTTATTTTATCAATAATCAATTTAGTTGTTTTGTTTCGAAAAAAATCGAAACAAAATGATAACAAGATGGAGTAGCATATGAAAATAAAAATGAAAGAACAAACAAACAAGCACACAAAACGTTTTGTACATTAATCTATAATTATCAAACACAATGCTTTTGTCAAAAACAAGAGAAAATGATATGAACAGTGATCATGTCATTTTCAAAAATGAAACAAATTAAGCCGTACACCTTTTATAACTTTTTGATTATTGTGAGTGACAACTTTAATAAATTTGTTCTTTTTGTACAGAAATATATAAAATAGTCCAAACAAAACCTATAGAAAAAAAACCCAAATAAAAAATATTTGAATATTTTGATAAATCAAAACACAAAAATTTTATTTCTACAGCACAGTTTTTGAGTTACACAGTTAAGAATAAGTAATAAAAAAAGAAAAAGAAACGCTACAGGAGATTAAAGAGAAAGTAGAAAAAAAGAGAAAACGAATCAGGTAGTAGATAACGAAGATTTTGTTTGTTGAGATAGAGAAGGAGTTGCTCTTTGCTGAGCTATTCGTTGTACAAGTCCTTGTGAAGCCATTAATAATAACTGAAATTTTTTTGCCATGATTGCTGTGGAATTTGCCTGAATGTATGTATAAAGTTTGCCATTCAAATCAATTAGAACACTTCTAACACTTGGATGAGATAAATCAAGACAAATGAGAGCTTCTTGAAGATAACTGTAAAGCATAGAAATATAAGTTTAATTTATAAGTAAAATAAAAAAAAATATTAAACTTACTTATATTTCACTTCTTGATGATGAATTAAATCTGCAGCTAACTGATGTATTAATGATAATAAGACGGGTGTTTGTAACGGAAGTGGTTGAATAGAAAATAATTGAGATGGACGAAGATTTTCACATAAAAATATGACAAGATTTAAATCACCAGCAGACAATACCTGAGAAGAAGAAAAATAATTTTTAGATTAATATCTTTTTGATCTATATATAAGAACTTTACAGATTCGAATGCTTGATTTATTTGTCCATGTCGAACGAGATTCAATACATATTGTTGTTTAGTTTCATGTTGTTGTTGTTGACTATTGTCATTTAAAACAGGTAATGGTGTTGTTGTACGACTAGTAGTTGTCCGAGTTTTAGATGGAACAGTTTGTTGTGGAGATTGTTGTGACTGCTGTTGTTGTTGAAATCGTTGAAAATGTTGGAGTAAGAGATTATTAATATCGTTTTTTTGATTAGTAAATAATTCATGTAATAATAATGATGTTTCATTTTTCAGTACTGTTTGAGATGTATCACATATACTAAATAGAAAAATAGACATCAGTGTATGAGAGAATATATGAAATATCAGAAGGTTAGAGACAACGTACACTGATGTTAAATTTGTTCTCATATATTGATTAAAATCATTTTTAACTGTCAGACAAACTTCTTGACATTTACGTTCAAAATCTTTTAACAAAATTACTGTCTCTTTTTTAACTTCTGATAACACTTGCTCACGTTGCTGTTGTGATAAACGTTGTTGTTGACGACCATTTTCAGCCATTTCTTGTAAATCTAAATGAATTCAAAAGAAAAAGATAAAATCATGAAATATTATTTTTACATCAAATTTTTTTGTTTTTTGTCCATGCATTTATGGATTTATGGATATTTATTTAATACTTACATTCTTTTGTGCCTTTTTTAAATGCTTCGTTACACTGTTGAAACATATTTAATGCAGCTTTTTCAAATGATGGTATAACGATTTGATTAAATGCATCACGATAAGTTGAGATCATTGTCGATTGTACAGTACCAGCGACAGCATTAGACAGAGAATCAATCATTGTCTAAAAATCAGTTCAACAATTTATTATTATTATTATTATTAATCTAATTTACTCTTACTTTTGATCGAAATATTTGAGTCATTGTTGATTTAATTACATTATCAGTTGATAATAATTTATGGGCAAGATCTTTGTGTAAATTATCTTTTAAATCTTTGTACGGCTCAAAAACAGCTTTTACAGCTAAAATAGGTACATATAAATAAATACACAATACAAAGATAGGAACGAAATGAGCTACATACCTCCTTGAACATAAACTTGAATTTTTTCGACTAAGATATTTTCTAAGCGAGCATAATGTGCATCAGTTAAATTTAAATCACTATTAAGTGAACCATTGTTTGAAGTAACATTGTCACTAGGATTAGGTCTTGTGGACAATATGGAATGTATATTAGCACCTAGAAAATAAATCGTGGATATAAAATAACATTAAATAATCAAATTGATTCTAAATAGTAATAGAATAGATTTATACGATTCTGCTCGTTTCAATAAATTTTTTTGTAATTTTAAGTTATAATTTGATCAAATTTATTTCTTTTATATTCAATCGTATGAAGGAGAAAACCTATTCTTCGCCCATCTCTATGAAATACCTGGTGTTTGTTGTTGATCGAGCGTCATAAATCTGTCGAATTTATTTGTTAATTGTTCGATTCTTTGAGAACATCGTTCTAGCTTTTCACTGAAATCTTGAGGGTTAGTTATCGCTGTTGTTGCTGTTGAAGAAGATGTTAGAGGAGGTGGTTGGATGAGATAGTTTACACGAAATGAACTCAATTGACTAGATAATTCTCGAATAGCGTGTAAAGCCTGAAATAATAGTGAAATATTTTACACGAAATATTCGAAATACAATCGATTTGAAATTTCTTACTTCATTTCCAATAGATCCTGATTGTAACGGAAGAATTGAATTTGGTGATCTTGCACGACGTTTTATTCTTGGATGAGTTTGTGGTTGTTGTTCTCCCTCATCAGCAGTTGAATCGTCGTCTTTGTCACTTCAATATCAAAACAGAATAAAATCGAGAAAGAAAGGAGTAAACTGTTTTACCTTGTCTCGGTTGCACTAAAATCACCCATTGCTTGTCGACTAGATGCAGTCATACCTCTATAAAAAGCATATAAAAAAAGTTAGATAGAAACAAAACTGCCCAAAGTTCTCATACTTCATGGGGCTGTCATTGCGAGAATGACACGATTTTGACCACAGCGAGGCTTCACCATACTTCTGTGGTGATAATAGAGGATCTTGTGTACGCGATTCATTAACCTACATAAAAAATGAACAGTGTATGAATATAAAATACTTGCATTATGAGCTCCTTGATGGGTAAATCTTTATATTCTAACTAATTTTTAATGTATTTTACACAGGTCAAGAATACAAGTACAGCTGCTAATTGTACTGTAGATATGTTTTAACTAAAAACTGTACTATTGTGACTTATTAGATTTTAGTTGAAACATACCTGTCCATTTTCATCCAATTGATCTAATTCGTCGTCGTTTGTTTTTATAGGTATAAATACATTATCCACATCGTCAGTATCATTCACTACTAGAATATAAAGATAGATAAAAATACAGTATTAGTCAAAAGTGTACATTAAAATACATACAGACATCAAATTGATGTTGATAATTTGTTGTACCTGCCATACTTTCAGCAACTTCTTTATCATCTAAATCGAATGGCGATGTTGAACCTCCTAAAAAGAGATCCAAAATTAATCATTTTTTTAATACATCTACACTAATTTACGATTATTAAGTTTTCTTGTTTTGTTGGTAGTGTCCGCTGTTGTTGCTGTTGTTTGTATAAGACCATGTGAAAACATTTCATTGATTAACGATTGTGGGTGTATTGCAGTTGTTTGCTGTTGTGGAGGAGATGTTAACGGTGTTTGATGATGAACTGATCGATGTATTGGATCAAATGCGGTTGTACTGCCCAATAATAAACCATGTATTGGATCAACCGTTGGTGTTGTTGAAATGTGATTATTAGCACCATTGCTTAATCCATCTGCTGCTAAAAATGATCGTGTTGTATCTCTTGTGACATTTGTCAACGAACTATTTGGTGAAAGAAGATCGTCGATACTGTAACTAAAGAAATCATTTAAAAAAAGAAAATGCCTATATGATACAAGAAAATCGCATATATTTAAACATACTTGGGCATAGTCATTAGATCTCCTACTAGACATAATCTATCTGACGAAGGAGGTGGAGGAAATGATGATCGATCTCGTGTGATCAGTTGGGAATTGTATGAATCGAAACGAAAATCTTGAAAAAACGCAACAATCAAGATAATTTTCATTGAGAATAACTGGTCTCTTACCATCGATAATATCATCTGAATACTTCAGTGGGGAATGATTACTAAAAGTATTCGATGTATGGTGATTATGAACTATGGGCGACAATATTGTAGTATTAGTATGAATGAAATTTTTTGTTTCAAATATCACGAGCAGTTCTTGAAAAAATCTAAAAGTAGCCAGATAAAATGAAAATTCAGAAATTTACAACAAGCAAAATAATACGCACTTTGTATGAATACTGTACAACTTTACAGCATAAGTAGCCATGCTATTCTCGTCTAAAACGAATATGGATACACATTGATAAAGAGCCTATCAGACAACTATTACTTTGTTGTTGGGATTGCTCTGAAACGTTTTTTCGATTTAAACGATCGGCAGCGGTAATTACGAAACTTAGTGCTGGCGCTTTTAATAAAAATTCATTGATAGATGTAAATTCCGCTCGATTCTGTTCACTATCTTGAAAGATAGTCAAAACATATAAACACTAAAACAAAAATAAATAATGCAAAAATAAATGATGCAAAAATGTATTAATCTTACCTTTCGATTGATATCTGATAAAACAAGAAAATGTGATGTTAAATCAATTGATGATTTCAATAGGAGTTTCGTTTGTGAATGTACTAGTGGAGATATCTCCATGAATGAATATTGAAAACTAAAATAAGCCAATTATTTAAAATATTTTTTTGAATCAGCACAATTTAATTTCTACGCTTACCGAATAATTTGGAGGCAACACCAATTTTTACAACTCCAAATTTTTAATTCACTATTGAAATCACAACCAGATATAGCGTAACGCCATAATTGTGTGCTAAATAACTAAGTATAAAGTCAAAAAAGTGTTCTCTATTTTGCCGCTGTGAACTTACTCTTGTGTTAAATTTTTGTGATCATCAAGAAAATATAAACAACTAATCGGACGCCCGTCATGTGGAACCCAACAATGAAGACATCTGAAACATTAATGACAACGATGTCGCTTATGATTATTATTAATAAATTCTAACTACCCGCATGAGTTAGGTTGATCAAAATTGATCGAAAAAAATTTGATCTCGCCTGTATCTGTTCCAGTTCCAATTGCTGCGCCATCTGGTGAAAAACAGACACATGTCACAAGCTAAAATAGAAAATCTATTGTAGATTCAATTTGACAGATAAAATACTAACTTACTCCTTGATTATCTTCGTACATCAAATATCCATTTTCAATTTGATTTAAGGTTAAAATTGTCTCACCAATATAGGATTGTGCAGCTATTGCTACATTTAATAATTCAACCTGAAGTAAATAAGAAGTAGAATAGTTATAAAAGTAGCATTCAATGAACGAAGCTCTTACTTTTGATCCATTGGTCACGGCTAATAGCGTATGAGCATCATTGATTGGATCATTTTCATCAATATCATTATTATCTGGTATAAAACAACACCATGAGAGTTTATTCGGCGATTTAGTTGATGACAGAAGATCAACACCGAGTATCAACGTATGCCAATGGAACAGAATTAAGAAAATGTTAAATAAGTTTGTCTTTTTCTCAGTTCTTAATTTAGACAGTTAAAGTTTTAGACATTTTTTGTTTTTTTGAAAAGGATACTTTAACATTGTATCAGTTTTTTCTATTCGATATATCCTTAAACGATTTGCTTCATCAATACATGCTAATAAAATATCATCACAAAATGAAAATGCTAAATCGGTGATACATCCACTAAATGGAGGACTGATGATGAAACGAAATCCAAACTGTTTATGAAACACACAAACGAAATCGTCTCCCGTTTGAGCTAGAAATATAGAAAAAAAGGTGGTTCACTTTTATAAAATGTTTGTCTGAAGACCGGTGGTCAGTTCTCGCTCTTCTGTTTATTACTAGTTCTAGAAAAAGCTTGCAAAAATTCACCATGCATATAAATTATTGTACGTACCTTTGACAGCATATGCAACATAATCTCCAGTAACAGCAACAATATTTCCTAAATGATACTTTTGTTCCCAATCATGGTCATCAATGATCTGAGAAGAAACCTGAAAATAAGAAAGAGAAATCTGTACGAATAGCTCATTGAAAATATAAATTATTTGAATACCTGATTATTTGTAAAATGTGCTTCGTTCACAACAGTTTTCAAACTATTCAAATGAATTTCCACATCATAACCCGAAATTAGGTGTGTACTTCTCTTTTCATTACTGTTCAATTCGCTAAAAAGAGAAGTTGAAATTAACAATAACGTCTGACATAGCAAGTTTAGTTGCTCACATGTATTGAGTATGTTTTTCTTCTGAACTGAAATTGCTAGAAGAAAAAATAATCAAGTAATTCAAACTTTTTAGCTTTAATATGATAATTACCTATTATTCATCTTCGAAATAGAATATAGAAATGCACGATAAAAATCTAGAAAATGAGAACTAATTAAGACATTTTGTACAGTTAGCAAAAGTTCTATTTGTTTCTAATTTCTAGTTATAGTTCTATTTTCTGTCCAGCTCTTTATTATAATCTGATACTCAAAAGACGTCTGGAACATCAAAAGCAAGTTCTTTACAAATTATTGTTGGAACAACAAATGATGTGAGAGCATAAAATAATTGCTACTCAAGGACATTCTGTTCTCTCATCTCCGTTAGCTAGAAAGCAGTTTTTGAAGATCTATGGCTCCCAGAAAAGCAAAATATAGCTCTCGACCTATGTCATCTCTTTTTCTGATCCAACGTAAGAAAATACAAGAAAAGCAGTGACACGTCATATGATTTTCAATTTAATATTCTTTTACTGCTCAGTTTTATTGTCAAAAATCGTCTATAATAAAGGAACCTTCTTGCAAACTAATTCTCACTTCTTTGGTGATAAGAATATTGAAAATCATCGAGTTAAACCTCTAGAATATACAACACTAGGAAAAGAATGAGAGAAGTTAGCTGCGTTATTGGTATATAGGAACAATGTCTTGTCAAGGTTGATGCTCTGCCAATAACAAATTCCACTTAACTCCAAAGCTGACAAAGTTTCAGAATGGTCCCCTATGGCTTTTGGCTTTTTTTATTTTTCAAACATTCATATCCAAAATTTTTAATAGGTGCTCATGACTAATTAATGCGGTCAGAGTTTCTTACCGACAATGAACTCTAAATAAATAGACTTATCATTTCGTTGAATCGATATACCGCTGCAGTAGGACAATTTTGCAATGACATAAAGATTGAGATTAAATAGAAAATTAATCAGCCAGTAAAGTACTGTTAATGATTAAAACTGAACTGATTGTCGATGCCAAACATGTTCTTTATAGCTAAAAGTGTTACATATTACAGGAGAATGTCTAACGTTATACAAGATAATAAATATGCCCTGTATTACCCTAAATGACTAAAAACAGGTGCGTCAGACTGAAATAAAATGAAATAAAATGAAAAGAAAATGTCATTTTCACAGACGATCATATATAAACAATCTCTCTCTCTCTCTCTCTCTCTTTTCCTCCCTCAACATGCTTATGTTAGATTTAGAAAAGAGTATAGTTCGTAGAGACTAAAGATAATAAAAATGTACATCAACGTAGTACCACTATTACAATTCTTTTTTCGTTTCTTCCTAAAAAAAAACACTCTTTCCTACTATAATGACCAACTTTTTTTTAAAGAACGAATAAGCTTTCACACATTTCTGCTTCTATCCTGTTTATGGAATCTTTGTAAGTATATGCTTTATACGATGAGATAAGACAACAGCTGTGGACACAGAATAAGTAGAGGTAAATAAGAATATACAACATATCCTGAAATTCAACGTTTTTCTATACGGTCAGTTTTCTGAGATGTCTTGTTAGACAAAAACAAACAAAGAATGCACTCGAATGAGGTTAGTCTCGAACAGAATACAGTTCCTTATGGATATCTGTTTCTCATCCAAGTAGATGATAAAATCAAAAAAAAGAATAGTAAGTCACAGTTTATAAACACGACAAATCAGTTCACTACTCTATGTTATTGTTTATAAGTTTCTGATACTTAATTTTTTTTTTGAATATTTAATAAAACAATCTAGACGAGTCTGTCTATCCGTTTAACATTTCAATAAGACGACAAATGATTGTTGATCTTTCGTTAGAATTTTTTCTGAGCTGCTGAGAAATTTAGCAAAATAAGTCTAAGTTTAATCTTAAATAGTTTATTTTTAATGCAATTGTGAAATCCAAGATGTTAAGTTAGTCTGTGGTTTCTATGAAATGTGGAGTAGAGAACGCGTTCGAAAGAGACTCTTAAAATTTTGAAATTTGGTAAAAGTGTTCAGTATTAGTTCCATCATGTGACACAGTAACAATCTCAATTCATTACTTCTAGAATAAATGTACAATACTAATACCAAAATATTGAATGTAACTCGTGTTGCTCAAACTGTAGGATTTAAGAGCACTTTTGTTATTATATTTTAGTTCAATTTCATTTTATCTTTGTGTTTCATAGATTTTGTTCATCTTTTCAATTTTTTAATTGATGCTATCAATTAAAAATACGAAAAATGACGATTGTAAACAATTATTACGCATGTCATCATTTGATAGTCGTGAATCACTCTCGCAATCAAATTCAGCATCTGTATCTTTAAATAACGAAACACCGCTAAATATGCCAGATAAAGGACAATCTTTATTCAATGATGTTGGAATCGTTCTCGAAGATACAATTAATAAATTATCGACAACAAAATCCTCTAACACATCAACATCAACAGATCCCAAACAAAAGAAATCATTTTTTCTGCGTTATATTCATTTACCAAAATTTAACTCACGTGTAGTCTCAAGCCATTGTTTACGTATAATGTTTTTACTATTCATCTCTCTTATTGCTTTGTTAAGTTTTGCAATATTTCTTATTGTTGGTTATAATGCAATTCAATTTAAACAACAATGCCTGTTATATTCAACATTCGATTATGAAATAATAGGTGACATTAAAACAAATTATACCGTACGTTTAAATAGTGCAAAAACTGTATTTGGTTCTAAAAGTGCGTGCGAATTTTGTACATATTATTGTGTGGCTGTATTTATTTATTGCATAGTCACATGTTTTTTCTTCGTATTATTCAATGCTGATAATAGAATTATATTGACAAGTGATAAAACTTTACTTATACCATGGTAAGTCTCGATGTTCTATTAGGAACATGCATATAATGTTTATATTCTTACTTCATAGGCTCATTATTTCAATTATTCTTGGTATTCTATCACTAGTGAACGGATGTGTACTAACAAATGGTTTTAAAATGTTTTGTACATCTATTATCAATAATTTAAAATATAATCAATCTCAATATTGTTCGCAAATAAATTTAATGTATTTCGAACAATATCCAACGGTCAAATATGTCTATACTTATATGATAATTGCAATCGTCTTCGCTTGGTGTCAACTTCTATTTTTTATCGGATCCATCGGCATTTTAATACTAAGATTAAGCACTTCTGAGTTAGATAATGATATCGATTATGTAATGGATGATGAAATGAAGAGTAAAGTATTTCAAAAAAATATAGAAAATCTAGTATCAATAGAACAACAACAATCAAACGATGTTAATGATATAATGTTAATCGAAAAATAAATAAAAATAATGTACATAACTGTTGAATTAGAAATATTGAATTAAATTCAAGATTATTTTATAGACTTTTTCTATTATCTATAACGTTTTACAAAACAATCGATATTCAAGCATATACAACTTTTAACTTATGGTTTACAAGTAAAACGTTGCACAGATCGATAAAAACCTATCTTGAGCTAATTTTTATTTAGCTATTAAGTGAGAGAGTCCATCGTATCGAGCAATTTTAAAAGGAAAACAATTTAGCTCGAATTTTCTGTACAGATTTAGCATATTTAAAAATATCTTAATTACCTTTTATTCAAAAAGATAGTGATATTGAGTTACAAGGTTCACTCTGATCATTACTCAAAGAATTTTTCTCTTTTTAGTCTTCTTCAGAGTTAAGTTTGCCAGTGGTGAAGCGTTTATACTAAATCAATCCGATCTTAAATTAGAACTGATTAATACAGGCTAAAAACGAATTACTATGGTTTATCGGCACCGAAATCTAGGAACCTTCTATAAGACTGATATTTTCATCGGGAGTCAGTTTATCCCAGTAAATGAAAAAACTAATGAATCATATACATACAGCCGAGAAAAAATGATACTCTAACTGTTTTCTCAAGAAAATTTTGTTTTCTGCTGCGTACACGAATTTTGGAGTACATTTTTCACTAATGTCGCGGTTGGATTGCATTCACAATCAAAATAAATCTTATATTCATGTTTTCCATAAAACAACGACAGATCCATCTCAGAATGCATAAAAAACAAAATTTTCTCTTGAGGATTGGATGAGGTACGTTTCCTAATAATCGCAGTTTTGTTGCTTTAAAAAGTCCTATATCTTGGCCAACCGTTACATGGCTTCATCGGTAAATATCATAGAATCATACTCTGAAAGAGTATGTTTTAAAAACGCTCGAGTCATTTAGATAAGCGCAAAATTGTAGAAATATCCCAAGATCTGAAGAGCTCTATTTATGCAGGGTTATCTAGTTGTCAATGTTAAAGACTTTCAAACAAATAGTATAAATTTTTTTTTTAACTATTTCCGAAGCATTCATTTCATATAAAAATAGTGTACGCCAGAAAGAAATATGCTTATTTTTCAGAAACTAAGTCTTCACATAACTACTTAGATTACAGAAGAATTATTTTTCCAAAGAGCTGATAAGGCATCATCCTAGCTAAACACATTTTCTATAGTATCACAAATAGTCACAAGTCTTCTAGTTATCTTCTAAAAAAAGAACTAAAGTTTTGGATCTACCACAATAACAGACGGGTTTGTTAGATCGTATTAAAAAACTAGACACATTTTTTAAGTTGGATTCGCTTTTTATTGATCTGCTGTAAAATGAAAAGATAGCACGAGGTATAAAAATCGAAGCGCAAACGAAATAAGTAACATCTTATATATAGATATTAAGAAAAAATACAGACAAAAAACTGGGTTACACACAGACTAAAGATAGTAATTTTTAGAAATGTACATGAAAAAAAAGAACAATAAAAAACACATCTGAAAAAAGTTGATAACTGATAGGACAAAAACAGATTGTTTTTATTTATAAATCGCAATTAATAAGCATCAAATCACAAATACAATTTTTAATACACAAAAAGCCTTAATTACATCACAACAACAACAAAAAACAACATAAACGCGTAAACCAAAGTTTGTACAAACAAAAAGTGAAACGAATGGCACTTGAAAGATGTACCAGAATAAAAGAGTGAGGTTGAAGGTTCAGCAAAGAAAAATAAGATTTTTGAATACAAATAAACAACACGCATCAAGTTAGGTGTTTGAAAAAAAATCATTTTATACGAGAAAATGAAAACAATTAACAATTATTAAAGAAAAACCTGACCATAGGTCTGAACAATAAAAAAACAAAGAATGTTGATACGTATTTTTCGTAGGCGCGTGTAGATATGTTACGTAGATATGAGAAGAAACTCTCACAATAAACACAAAACATAAATCGATTTTCACCGGCTAACCACACATATACACAGACGTATGGTGTACGATGTACTAGTTTATAATAAAAATTCATCCATTTATGCTCTAGCACCGTCTTTCTCAAGTTTTTCGAATACTTTTCGAGCATTACGAATGTTCATTAGTGTTACTTCTGACGCTAAACAAGAAACAATGTATTCATCGTTAGTCAAAAACGTGTAAATTTTTGCGATACTTTCAGATATGAAGTATCTTTGTAAATTAGATAAGATATCAGTTGACTTACATATACTTGGATCGGATATTACAACCATGACATATGTGTTCGGTGTACATAGTTCAATGAAACAAGCAAATGTTGAATTTCGAACTTCCATTGATTGAAATGCTGCCGCTAGTTTACTGAAAAGAGAGGCATGATCAACTATAACCTTAATTCTAGCATTCAATGTATTACCTGCAACTTAATTTAAATTGTTTTATTATATCGCTTATTTTTTCAAAACGATGAGGATCTCGATGCTGTTTTCGTGTGCAATGCGAGATAACCTATAAAATAACAATAATGAAGAGATATAAATAAATTTTTTCTATCCATCATTGTACCAAAAAGGTCGCTTTTTCAAATAACAATATTTCATCAGCATCAATTATTTCAGCAAAATTTTCAAGTGTTTTTTCCAAACCTTTGACATTCGGTACGAGTTGATAAACAATTTGTGACCATGCCTATTTCAGACAAAAAATAATAATATAAACAGTATACGAATGAGTAGTATAAAATTGCAAACTTTATATAATGTTTCATCCCAAATCGATGTACGAAAACAACTGCAATCCAATGGTTTTGATAAATTCTTTAATATAGCTTCACGTTCTGTAAATACCTATAACAAATCGACGTAGAATTAGATGATTATTTTAGTGAGCCAGATAGTCTTACTCTGTCCCGAAAATCGTCTGGAATTAAATCCATTTTGTGAACCAGACAAAATACTTTTGATTGCGGTGAATGCTAAAAGAAAAAAAAATTCCTCTAATGTTAGTAAACTTTTACAACATGATTTAATTACAGTCGACTAAGTTACGAAAAAAAACTCAATACATCTTCTATGAAGATGCAATGAGCAAGAATTCAGCAATAAAGAAATTTCCCTCGATCAAAATGATTATAAGTACAAAACAACCAAAGCGAAAATTTTAATATGGTGGAACACTTTTATTGAAGAAAAAAATCTTTTATTTTTATACTACCTGTAAAATAGATTCTAAACATGACTGATAGTAATGCATATCTTTGTCTATTTCTTGACTTTGAACATCGAATACATAAATGAGTACTTCAACATTTTTAAATATGTTGTCTTTTTGCGCAGCAAAATAACATTCCATAAATGCTTCTTGTCTAACGTAAAAGTTGACGAAAAGATTTTTTTTTATTTTCAATAAACCAGAAAAAATACTTACCCTCCACAATCCCATAGATTCAAAATTAAATTACCCAAAAATCGAACATACGATTGCTCAACATCAACTGAAACATGAAAAACGCTCATTAGGCATCAAACTATCCGTTCAAACTTTTGGATATGTGATAATATAAAATACGTACTTGTGGCGCCCAAACGACGTGTATCTTTTGCGCTATAATTAGCAAATATAATTGACCGCATTGACGTTTTGCCACCACCACTTTTTCCCATCAGTAAAACCTTAACAAAAATATTTTATCAAATTTGTTGCATTTCCTAGAGAACAATGTAAACCTTTTTTCGCATCATTGAGAAATTTAAATATAATATTAATAAACTTTCTTTTGTTAATCTAAAAAGGAGAAATTAAACTAGGTACTGATATAGATACAATTTCGATCATCCGATACATTAAAAGTACATCTCTAAAAACCTGTATTAAAATCTCAGCTATAAAGTTTGTATCGTTTTTAACGCTTTCTTCTTCTACACAAAGATGTTTTGACATTTAGTGACTTGCTGAATATTCATATAAGATAGTCCTTTCTTATAGCGTCTTCTTTATGACGAATACAAGGAAAATCAACTAGAAATGATCTGTTTCAATGATAGCTTATAGAACGCCATTAAAACGTTGACCAAGATCTGAAGCAAAATAATAGGCTAATCACTAAACAAATAGTTGTACTATTAAAGTGTGAAGAACATAAGAAAACTCCTTTTTTCATCTCATACATGGTTTACACATCAGATAAATAAAGTCGTATAAAAACATTTGTTACAGTCAGTGTAAAAAAAAAAAGAGTCAAAAAATTGTGATAATAATATTATATGGAACCTTATTTCTAATGCTGTATTGACTACCTTATTTGTTTGTAGTTAACAAACCAAAATAGGCGATATGTGTCGCCACCACATCATCTCAGTTCACGGCATAAAAACAAATAAAAAAAAAAACCAGACACTTTTATATGTATTTAAAAGTAAAATTATTTTGTTAAAGTTTACAATTAAGTGGAAGAAGTTATTTTTGCCCATTCTGGAATATTACTTGTAAATGTATTTTCTTCATTCAACTTATATTGTATTGAATGTAAATACATGAGCAAATCACTTGGTGTTGGCTCACGAAAATTATTTTGACATTCATAACAATGCTGCGTGATATAATTTTTTATTGAATTTTCATCATTAACATCAATTTCACTTTTATATTTTGGTTTTTTAACATTCTTATTATTTTCATCTTCACACTGAACGCGTTTATTATTTGTTTTTTCATTTTTGTTCATCTCTTCATTTTGATTGCTCAACATCATCTCATTATCTTCAATTTCGTTCATAAGCCAATTTTCACAACTATGTCGATTTATAAATAAACCGATTACATGTTCATTTGAATGTTCATAATTTGCATATTGTCCGTTACTTGGTCCCCAAATATCTGGTGCATTGTATAGAGGATCATTGACAATGGGAAAACCAAGATATTGTAAATGAACGCGTATTTGATGCATTCGTCCACTTAAAGGACGACATAATACTAAACTAGTGGCTGTTGATGATTGATCTAAGTATTTATTTATTGTCTGATCTATTAATTCCACTTGATCGCTACTATTGTCGAATATAAATTTATCTTTCATTATAAGTAATTCATCATATGTAATACGTTGAAATAATGTTTTACATTCTTTATCACCACCTATTTTACATAGACCTAACTGAAATGAAATTGTTTCAAGTGGTTTATTAACACAAATAATTTTTTCATATGGAAAAATCCCACGAACACGACATAAATACAATTTTTCTATTGATGATGATGAACGATCATTAAAATCAACTGCACGTGCTTTCTGAGCAGATTTAGTCATTATTAATATTCCACTGGTCATACGATCAAGACGATGAATTGTTCTTAAATTATTGTAGTTGTAGTCATATGCTAATATAGCTAATATTGTGTTATAACGATATTTGCCACATGGATGTACAGGTATAGAGCATGGTTTGTCTATCACAAGATAATCCTTATTATCGCATAATATACTTATGTCTTGATGAATTACTGGTACCTCGTGTCTATGCGTTAAATGTTCTAAACGGTCTCCATTTTTCATGATATAATTTTTATCAACACTAAAAAGGAAAACTCTTTTCTATTAAGACAGAATGAAAGAAATTGATAGTTCACCCACAGAGACATGTAGTTTAATCAATCGTCATGCTTTCCTGTAGATATTTTTTACTCAATCTTAATTAATTACTTTTTATTATTAATACGTATAAGACCATTGTGAATTAAGTCCTCAAAGTTCTGTTTATTTATTGAACGTCGAAATTCATGTGTGAATATGTCTTCTATTGTACGCCCATACCATCGTTGTTTAGCATAAGTAGACCACGTAAAATAATAGGGAAAAACTTTTCGTAAGCCATTTTCAAAAAAATAAATCGATGTTGAATTGAGATTATTATTTTTATTATCAATATTTTCACTTGATTTACGAAAACCTACTGGTTTCAATTCTGATCTTTGTAGACGTCGTTGTTTCATACGTGAGCGACGTTCGGCCTTTGTTGGTTTAACATATTTTGTTGATACATTATTGCGATCAGTGCAATCATTAATATCATTAGAACAAATATAATCAAGAATTCCTACTATCGCTTCATTCGCCATCGTCTAAAAACAAAATATTTGAACAAACAGAAAAATCATACATGAAATGAGCTGAGTTCAACAACAACCAGGATAATAAACGTATATTATCTTATTTCATAGGCTGTTTTAGACTTGTCACATAAGTCTAAAGGATCTTTTTTAGGTCAAACCAAGAGACTCCAAGAGCTTTTGAAATATCATAGTACAATAATACAGGAGACTCTTAACAATTTGACTACTGATTTTCTAGTCATAAAATAAATCTATCTACTATATAACAAAAATGAAAATACTATCGAACTGTCTATATTTCAAATTAACCTATTTGTCAATAATAATTACCGTCATCTAAATAAGAAAAAATCAAATAAAATGTACTCCTATAGAAAACTTTTATCACATTTTGTTTGAACAAAAAGAAAAACAGATCATAATACTTTCCCTAAAGAGAAGGTCTCTAAATTTCTTAAAAGATTGTATCTTTCAATGGCTAACATGTACAAATGTGCGAAAATATTTACACTAAAAATAAACAAATTTGGCAAATATATTTCTAACTACCAGACTTAATAAAAAATAACTGACAAGCAAAATAAAGAAGTTTTACTTTGTATTTAAATCATATAAAAACAAACATCCAATTTTAATAGAAAATAGAAATTTCTCCTGTTTTATCCCATTCGTCCATAACAACTGCATGATAACCAATATTTGTGAGAACAACAACGTATTCAAATAATGCATACATTGAATAAATATATGGTTCACAATAATCGTTATGACGAAAATAGAAATAAACCGATATAAAAAATGTTGCTATATTAACAATAAACCATTTCAAGCGTTTAGAACGCACGTTGACTTCATGTTCGTTAGGATAATTTAGTCTCGGCCAGAAATAATCGAGAAATAGTGTAAGTATCATATGTATTAATGAAAATACCATAAATGCAATAAATGAATTTTCATGAATCCATTTTATTTCATTTGATGAAACATAAGTTAATAATAGTAAAAATGTTAATTCTAAAAAATGCATAAAACCGTTAAAATATTGAGTTAATTCATAGATTTCTTGGAATTGTACTCGACGACTGAGCAGTTTATTCATTTGAAGAAATCCAATTATATAACGTGGCACAGAATCCAATGCGAAACAAAAACGCCATATATAACGTTGGGGTGAACAATCGCCAATCGATGCACTGATCGATGGTAAAAAGTTATAAACGTTACAATGTGTCTTTGTTGTTTTGTCAAAATCTTTTAATAGAGATAATCCAATACATGCAAATAATGCAAAACCTGGCAGTACATATGCAAATCTTAAAAAATACCGTACTTGTACATTTAGACCTAAAATGAAAAAAAAACTAACTATTTATAAATATATGTGTTCTTACTTTATATAAAGTACAGTATTACTAATGAGCTAAGTGTATGATTTTTAAACTTCAAATTAAAATAGAAATATTTCTTTTAGAGTAAATCCATACAAAGAAGAACTCGTACATCCTTAAACGGTAGAATAGTTTTTTTTCGAAAAATCAACGCACATTTCTTTCAGGAAATTTATTTAACTTAAAACAACTTCTAGCCTATCGTGGCGTTTAAGCAAAAATTAAATACTCCTTACGCGTTTTGCGATCCATAATTGTCAACCTGGTATGGCTTCCAGAATAATCAATAATTTATAATCGTACACAGAATACTAAAACGTCTAAAATTAGCTTTCTGAATAAAGAAAAAATATTAATAAATAAATTTATTGTAATGATTGATGAAATTGGTATAGTCAACTATTATCTAACTGGAATACATGATCAATAACAGATAAAAGAGTAGTACGAATTATATCGTAATCAAAAGTCAAATTTAACGGATTTAGTTAGATTACTACTTCATTCTTGATAGATTGCTCAAACTAACACACACGATCTTTGTATTGCTAACAGTAAAAAGTATTTTGGAAACGATAAGGGTCAATAATTTGATTAGAATACTCTTTTTTAAATTAACAGTAGCCATGATTAAATTCAAATCTATTCAATTAAAAATCCAACACTTCGACTCTTTGTCAATTTCTCTCCGACTGCATGATTTAGTAAATAAAGATGTAATCCAAGGTTGAAAATACTAGCTCGTCTCTTTCCTAAGTGTTAGTCACCAGATTTTGACTGTTAATAATCGTTATTACGTATCCATCTTGAATATTCTTCGATGTTAGTATAATCAACTGGACGAATTCTATTTATTAGCTATATCAGGTTTTAATTCAGGGCTATCAGTGAATGTTGGATTATATATATGTTATAGAAATATTTCATAAAAACAAATTGGGGATACACCCAGTTGGATAAACTGATGCATTAGAGAAAAAAACTAAAATGATTTCTACTTATTTTAGTTTTAAAACAAAATAAATGAAAAATGGTAGATCAGAAAAATAATTGAAAAGAAAAACGTCATTTGACTTTACTTTTCACGTTTCGGGTTCATGCAATGATGAAATTAGAAAGATGAATCCAGATAGAGTTAATATCATGCCTCAACTAATCAAAATCTACTCATTGTCCTTAATACAGTTTACTCGATAGATGACGTGGAGTGAAAAGAAAGAAAGTGTCATTCTTAGTGAGCAGTTTGCTCAAATAACTTTCAGACTAACAAAAAGAGAAGAAAATATACATTGGGCGTTCAAGGTCTTCTCTGTACTCACTCACAATATTAAGCATTTAGGTGAAAATCAATAAAATATAGATATCAATAATTTTTATTCTATATTCCAGCGATCGTGGCTGTCATCGTACTTCCATCTAGAATGGCGTTGACAGCCAGGATTGTCAGATGAAAAATTATCAGATACTTCTTTTCATTGAGATTTTACGGGTAGAGTTTGAAACAAAATGTAACCGCAACTTTTATAGCCAAAATCTCAGTTTAAGTTCCATGTTTTATTCTTACAGTTCCAACCAATGGAATAGAAGAACTGAATTGATTTCTAGTCATAGTAGCATTTGAATAGTTTCAGCTTGTCTAATCTGCGTTTATTGTGGTGCGATATATTTAGTTATGCTTCTGTCATATTGTGTGTGTTCCATCGAAGTTTTCACCAGTTGAGCATCTCACAAAAAATCTCCATTACTGCCGTGATGAACCTGACAAAACTTGTTATTTGAAACCTTTTCATAAAATCAGTGCTTGTTATATACACCAAGCAAAATGTAAATGAATTCGTTTACAGAAGACTCGCGAATTATGTAAAGTCAAAAGTTCTTTAAAAAAACGAAAGTCCCCTCATCTTTCGATTGAAATTGTCAGCTATGGGTTTTAGCTTCCTGAGTGCTCAGTGGGATAGTAATGTTATGTTTTGTAGGAGCGTCCATGATCTAAAGAACATGATGGAATGTATAGTTTCTTTAATGAATAACAGAAGATTGATAAATAGCTAGATAATCTACTGATTTTAGGATTCATCCAAAAAAGAACATAGAATCTCGATTTTGTGAAGTGATTTTAATTAAACTTTTATAGAATATTGCATTTTTCAGCTGATAGTTGTTTTTTTAGACTCATACACATTTTTTATGCTAAAATGACTACAATTGATGCTGACAGACGGGAAATTGCACGGTTGCCAGTTCGTCCCATCTCACTCGAGGACAGATATGATCCACCAGCGAACTTTTTGGAAATCGAAGTATTGAATCCCGAAACGCATGGTTTTGGACAAAAGCGATATACAGATTACGAAGTACGAATGAAAACAAATTTACCGGTATTTCGTTTGAAAGAATGTACTGTTCGTCGACGATACAGTGATTTTGAATGGTTACGAAAAGAACTGGAACGTGACAGTAAGGTAAAAAAACGGGGAGTTTTTTCAAGAATTCACAGAGTTAATTATTTCATTTTTTCAGATTGTTGTACCATCATTGCCTGGAAAAGCGTGGAAAAGGCAGCTTCCGTTTCGTCGAGATGAGGGTCTATTTGAAGATGATTTTATTGAAGATCGTCGAAAAGGTCTTGAACAATTTGTTAATAAGTACGTTTTGTAAGTTCATTCTTAGGCCATGTCTATACTGTTTATGATTTATTCTAGAGTCGCCGGACATCCACTAGCTCAAAATGAACGATCGTTACATGTTTTTCTTCAAGAACCATCTATTGATCATGAAAAATATGTTCCAGGGAAAGTTAGAAACTCTTAGAAATATATTTATCACATTTTGTAATATCAAGAACAAATCAAAATAGACTAAAAAACCTTTTCCTTGTACGTGTAGATATGGATTTCTGGAAAGACTCGCACTGAAGAGTTCTAATGGTATTGATTAGTTATAAAATATCTGTGGAATTCGATTTTTGTTTCGTATGATTACAATAATGCATTTTATTTGGATAAAGTCATTTATATTCTTCCGTATACTTTTTTCTGTACATAAACGTTATTATTTTGGTTTTTTCGTTATTATTGAATACATTGTGCATCTGTTATTCATAACTTTTATCTGTCAGTACTGTCGTTTTTTCTGTTTCGTAGTCTACCAATCTTCTAGGGTATTTCTGACCCCTTTTTATAAAACGTCTTGGATGTAAAGGATAAAGCAATTCGTGTTTGTCTCTTTTGTTAATAAGTTTATCTTCGATTCTCACTAACAATTGATTCTTCAAACCGCTCACAAAGTTTATTCTTTAGTTATTGTTGTCTTTTTATATATTAAGTTACATTAGCTGGTAGGAAGAAAAGCTGCTTTCTTTGCCAGTATATTTTTCTACTATATATATGCATAATAAAGAGGAGTTTTAATGTCATATAATGATGATGATGACGATGATGTTTGAACAAAAAAAACGTGCTAATTTATTATAATTTTCTTTCCGGCCTAATTTTTAATAAAAATACTCTTCAAGCCATTTATAACCAACGGGGGTAAAATGAAAAATGGATTTTATTTCCAAATACTAGTACAATTTAATGTTTTCAGCTGAAAAAGTATTTTCTGGTATTCTGTATATGACCAGTGCGATCTTTTGGAGAGAATCGAAGTTCTTTATCTCAGCTGCGTTATGCTGCATCAAACTTTCTAGACTAGAAAACTAAACGTCAAATTTTGAGAAAAGGCTAATTTATACATTGGTCTCGTTATTATCAACTGAACTGAATGTCAGGCTTTGGTTCAAAGCGGACAGATTAGTTTTCACCTAATTAATCTTTTTCAAGATTAGAGATTCTAAGAGAACACATTCCAATATACAATATTTTGTAAAATAATTGGGCAACGCGAAATTCGCCGTCGTACACTTTCGCAGTGTACTTTCGGCAATGCCGGAAGTCATACATTGGACTAAAAATTACTTTCAACCAAAACTGAACTTTCGGCAAATTGCCAAAGTTCCTACTCCGGTTATGGCGAAGGTTTTGTTTGCAGCATGACAGTTTTATAGTCGATAAAGATGTTATAGGTGATTGACAACATGACAAACATCACTAATTAGTATTAGTGAGTTCTACGACTCCAACAAAACTTTCGGCAATTGCCGAAAGTCCTGCCTTGGACTAAAAATTACTCTCAACCAAAACTGAACTTTCAGCAAACTGCCGACTTCGGATACGGCTAAAGTACGATGAAAACGCAACTTTCGGCAATTGCCGAAAGTGTACGACGGTGAAATTCATGGTATCCAAATAATTCATCCCTTTTCAAAACAATTTTTATTTAAATTAGAGCAAGTTTACAATATGTTTTTACAATAATTGAAATCAGTATTTCATACTCTTTTTATGTCGCTATTTCAGAGTTTTTGTGTATGCTTTTGTGTCCACCCACATTGACTAGAATAAGAGCATATAATTTTTGGCTGCACCAAATTATAGACTTTTAATGCCAATTCTTTCATTCTTTTATCTGTATTATGAGCCGTTGAACGATAAATAGCTTTCATTTCTCTGAAGAAACAGATCAGAAATTTCACCAGGTGAAACGGTTTGTCTCATGATACAGATAAAAGAATGAAAGAATTGCTTTTAAAAGTCTATAATTTGGTGCAGCCAAAAATTATATGCTCTTATTCTAGTCAATGTGGGTGGACACAAAAGCATACACAAAAACTCTGAAATAGCGACATAAAAAGAGTATGAAATACTGATTTCAATTATTGTAAAAACATATTGTAAACTTGCTCTAATTTAAATAAAAATTGTTTTGAAAAGGGATGAATTATTTTTACAAAATATTGTATTTCGTAAAGTAAAGCTCTGTACACTGTTACTATAATAATTAGGATTTGTGGTTTTCTTCCAGTTATTTGCTGATTGATTTTGACATGCAATCAGCTATATATGTGAAGCATGCCATGCAAACAACTCATTACAATGATCGTGTGGGAAATCCAAAACTAGAAGTGAATGAAAGACGATTAAGACCCATTTATGATTTTATGGAAATATCAAATTATCGAAAGGCTCTCGATCAAATCGATCGTTTATTGAAGCAACAGCTAGCATTTATCATTGCTAATGCATTAAAACGTTTAGTATTATTAAAGCTCGAACATAGATCCGAAGCAAAACAATTAGCTGATGAATTATTTTAATTAGCATTGTCAACGACGTCGCTACCTGTATCTTCTTCTACACGTACTCAGCAACAACAAGATACATTAGTGGATGAAAACGCTCTAACATTTTTAGCTCAATATTACAAAGAATTACGAATGTACGTATGTATAAAAGATTATAAAAATCAAAAAATAACGGCCGATCGTTTATATAGATTAACAAAAAAAAGTTCTCTATTTGAATTGGACTTCTTTATTAGTGTATTATTACAAATTGAAGAGAATCTCCCACAATTGAAACAAACACTCTAACCAATCTACAAACAATCTAACCAACACCCAACACCAATGACACTAAAAATGTTAGAAAAATTAGTTAAAGAACAACAACATATCAGTGAAATGGAACTGTTTTTTATATTTATACTCTCTAGAATTGAAAGAAGACTTTAAAATAGTGTTGAATTTTGTTGAAAAACATCATCAGCAATTAATGCCAACAATACCAGATAATGAAACACTCTATGTCACACTATTTCATATCAGAAAAACGTCTGTTATACAATTATAAAGCAAAAAATTATGTTGAAACATATAATTTAGGTAAAAAATATATTGCAGATGAATTTACTATCTTAACTGGTCTCAGAGAATGTGGGTAATTCTGTGGAGAATAGAAGAAAAGGCATGTTTCATTTTTTGGGGAGAAGTGATGAGATAAAGATAGTATGTGTAACTCAGCTGTTCTTGAAGTATTTAACTCGGAAAATAGCTCATTTTATGCAGAATTTTGTCAACTTTGATCCTACTATGTCAAAAAAAATCTAGAGAAGAAACTTAAGATAAAAAAATGCGAAATACAATAGATGTGATTCAGAGACAATGAGTAGAGTAATTACCAAATCAATTAGAATGAGCGGACAGAATGGTCTATTGTTTCATTTAACAATTGTTTCTGATGTAATTTTTCACGTTCTTTCTAATGGTATATTTGGAACTGAGTTTTGCTCAAGTTTAAAGGTCAAACAGCTCGTTTTAAATGAATTTCATGATGGCATCCGTAATTTTCAATTTTCTGGCCTTTACAGAGTACTTTTCTTAATTATTATTTTTTCATTAGAAAGCTGAGACTTTGCTCTTTCGAATGATATATTTGATTCGGCGTAAATTCGTCGTAACATACTTTTTCACGTTTTCTACGTTGCTGGTCTATCAATTTTGGAACAGTAAAAAGCAGGTGTGCTGATTATTTTTTCATTAAAAAATTAACAACTTGGAATTTTGAGATAAAAATATTCACATATAGACTAGACTCCATGAGTAGCAATATGGTGAAAATCGCAGCCTTCTAGTTTATTTAGTTTCATAGATATACCAGAAACAAAAAACTTTGGCTTCCCGGCCTATCAATTTTGGAGCACACTGTATAAAAACAATTAAAATTTAACGATAAATAATAGAGAAATAATTTAATATCAAAATTTGTCACATCTTGTTTATAACCATATTCTAATAGACAATATAGATCGATCAACAATAATTCCGATTCGTGTTGACAAATTGTTTCATTCAATATACTGACTGATATGAGAACAAGATCATTCTTGAGTAACAATGGAATACTTGGTATAGTAAATGAGAATATTGAATAAGTTTTAAGATTATTTGTTGATGATGACTTTATAAGATATTTTGAATTTATACATAGGCGGGAACAATACAGAATATTTATTAAGCACTGAATATGAACGGTATATGGTATTGAGTTGTGTTCAGTTTTATCACCTATTGTTTCTTGTTGATCAATGATTTTTTTAATGTATTTTTCATACCAATATTTATTCAGCTGATTATGATATTCAACAGGTAAATATTCCATATATTTATAAAGATCATACATTGCCAAACACGACGTTTTTGACGAACATTGTTCAATATAATCTTTGATATTCTTAAAATATGACTGATTTATGTATAGTCGGACTGTTTCAAAATAATTTTTTTTAACTTCATCGTCAGATAGATACAGTTGCTTTTCTATTCAAATCAATGTATAATTGTCTACCAAATTCTAATCGAGCTAATTGTGGAGCGCGATCACTATTTTTTTCATCATCTTTGTCCTTTAGTCGTTTATCAGCGTCAATCGATTTTTTAACAGATCAAATTTTAAAAACAGTTGTATGAAGGATAAACAGTTTATAGTAGACAATTGTCACAGAGTTGCTCGAGGAGAAGAGAAACAAAACGCTTTAGCTGTTGTTTTATAAGAGAACACCGGCATTACCCTATGATAAAAGATATTTTGACTAAAGAATAATCTTCGAATAGTTAGGAAGGAAAGGTAACAACATTAGAATCTGCTTCTCGATAGGAATACATGTATTTTTGGGTGTCCTGCTCTGAGCCCAAAGGTACACCATTGGCTTAGTAAGTGAATATAATTAAGTTACACATCAAGTCATGTGTTCTCCTTCTCAATGTTTGTTTATCTGTTACGCAGTCATAAAAAAATTGTACACATTTATCATGGATCAGCAACAAATTTTTTATGTTTGATTATTAAAGCTGATCAGTCTATACTTTTTTTTATCGTAGTATAATTGTTTCCGTTGATACTCCTGTTAATATGTTCACAACTACCCAAAATCAACGAACAAATTAATCCTTTTGAGATAATCTAAACTAGTTTCATATGTTAACATATCGAGACGTTTAGTTATATTTATTAATAAATACGAAGGGAAAAGTTCTAAGACTTTTAACTAAATTATTAACTTCGTAAACAATTATAGCATTAATTATCAGTTTCATCTGTTATATTATTCTAGAATTCCGTGTTTCAATGCCGTTGCTTGATAAAGTCAATTAATTCAGTTAAAAAAAAATGAACGTTGATCATAATCTAATTTAAAATATGAATCAAATAATACTTCATACCAATTCTATAAATTCATCTGCAATATATTTTTTACCTAAATCATATGTTTTAACATAATTTTTTGCTTTATAATTGTATAACAGACGTTTTTCTGATATGAAATAGTATGATATAGAGCGTTTCATCTCCGTTTTGCCAAATTCATATTTCAAACAGTTATCATCCATGATAGAATCATTGATTTCTTTCTCACGTATGATAACAACGTTATTATTATTTTCATCATTTATTAATGATTTATTCACTAAGTTTTGTTGTTGAAATTTTGATTTTGTTGAAGATGGTCCAGTTGTTGATTGTTGCTGCTAGTAATTGACTAAACAAAAGTGAACTCATTTGAGTAGAATGCCTATTAACCATACAATGTTTCATGATTATTTTTCGATACAAACTATAAGTTTCTTCATGAAGCTTCACGTTCCCTACAGATTTTGTCGGAAAAACAACTGACCAAAAGCCAAAACGAGTCAATTTTTTTGTTTTGGACTCGACGAATATTCGGCTCGTTTCGACGTCTGCATACGACTGTCAGTTATCATGAAATAGACATAAAGTAGACATTTTTTTAACAAACAGATGTTTAAGATCTATTAGAAAGCTAAATTGAAATCTTTATTGTATCTGTTAGTTGATATTTGCGTATCATCCAGTTCTCTTTCTAATTTTTGATAATCATCATTCATCGTTCATTTGAATTTATTTTTTTAACCATAATTCATAATTAAATATTGTCATTTGTATTTGTTGCCATTGTTTATAAAGTACCTGTTCAATGGAGTCAAGTTTTGAAAATAAATCTTCAATGATTTGTTCATATTTATTGACTACTACAGTATTATCTGTATCGTCATGCAGTAATATTTGTGATTCGATAAATTGAGTCTTCTTTAACGTTTCATTTAATAAACTATAAGTGTGTTTCAACTGATTCAGAAATTCATCTATTTGTTGTTGAATTGAATTAATACTCAAATCTATATTATGAGCAGATATAAACATTGTGTTCGTTTCGTTTTTAGCTAAATTATCACTAGTACAAAATGAAAATCCGTTTAAAAAAACATGGATTAATAACAGAATTGGTATAAATATAATAATAACGTTGTTATCACATGTGAGAAAGAAATCAATGATTCTACCACGGATGATAACTGTTTGAAATATGAATTTGGCAAAAGGGAGATGAAATGCTCTACATTAAAATGTTTTGGTGTGGGCTATATGGAATCATTAGTTCAAATGCACATCTGTTTACAGAGTAAACTAAAGGCGGTGAAAATTCAACAACAAGATTTTGCTGTATAACTACTGAGTTGTTGTTTCTATTTTCTAAGTTTAAACCATTTTTTATGTATTTTTTTTTAATCTTCAAAATACCGTTTTGCTTGGTATCATCCATTCACTATTTCTCTTTTTTACAAAAATACTAATTTTAGACGAAAAAATGTCGATAAAAGGTTTTTCTCTTCATTTTTTTGTCTGTTAATTATTTGTGAGTTATTTTGTGCTCAACAACAAGTATATTTTTTATAAGTTGATCAAACTTCTATCATCCGGTTGATGCTGTTTTTGTTCTTGCCTTTCTGTTCTTGTTGAATTCACTCTTAGATGATTTCTAATCTCCTTACAACATTATTCTTCCATAAAACATTTTTTCCGTCAAACAATTCATACTAAGACAATTTTACACATCGTCATATGTTTTATTGTTGTGATCTCTACGTTATTTGTTTAGAGCAAATTGTTTATTCATTTTTTATTTGAGCTTAAATGTTATTATTAGTTTGTTTATTCTTTATTTGTCCATGCTGTGTAAGCATGTTTTCAACTTTGTTTCTTCTGTCTCACATTTGTTTTGTGTAAAGAAAATAACAGTCTTATAACAAAGAAGTATAGACAATCGTTGATCTAACAACACATGTGTGAAATAAAGCAAAGAGTTTGACTCTCTATAAATTAAATTCAGTTTGTGTTTTTATCTTCTAATTAATACATCAGTATTTGGAATAGTGAAAATCCTATTCCAATTTTTTTCTTAGCAAATAATTTTCATTTTGAAAACTTTATTCGTTTTATAGAGTTTACACAAATTGATTAAAATATATTCCAAGTAAGTAGTCTTCTCTATCAGAACAACAAATCTTTATTTAGATGGGATAAACAGACTAAAAGATTAGAAATAATTAATATTGCTTTAATAGTAATTCGTAGATCAGTAAGTAAAAATAATTCTCAATGGTACAGACTTAATTCGTTCGTCATGAAACTGTAGAGCACTAAGTACAAAAAGAGTTGAGATCATCATCTACTTTCTAATTTCATCTTTTCTTTTCTCTTAGCACGATCACGACCTAGTTGATTGTCGTTAATAAATGATTTGAAACTTTAAAACATAATTTTACATCTGCAATGATTTGAACTCAAATTCTTTTATTAATAATCATTCTCTAAATATGTGTACCATTATAATAAGTTGTGTTTGGATTTTCTTGATCGATTATTTTTTTTGCACAAACAACTCATCATCACATTTGGTTTATAGAACAAAAAAAAAACAAAACAAAAGGACAGAAACAAAAACTATTCTTATAAGCACACATCTACACGTACATAGAAGGCTATAATCCTGTAAATTCTTGTTTAATCTTCATGTTTTATCTATTGGCAAGCAGGTTCTCCTTTTTTCCCAATGATTTATTGTCCATGTTAATACATAGAGATTGTTGAAACAATCTATTTTTTTTCTTGATTTATATGAAAGTTTTTTCCTTCCCAAATCTCTTTTTTACTATCTTTTTACTATATGCGTGTGTGTGTGTGTGTGTGTGTGTGTATATGTGTGTGTGAACGATAGTAAGAACAGAAAACATAAAGAGAGAACTGTTACGCATCTAAGCATATTTAATTAGAGAAAAATTTAACCGGAAGAACTATAGATAGTTATACGGCAAAACAGAGAATAAATCACCATGAGGAAAGAAGAGAGGAGAGGAGTAAGTCATTTCTGTCACTTTAATTTTGATAATAAAAGCTCAAATATGAATTTGTTGGGTAGTGCTATTGATTATTATATAGTAATCAATTCTTCTCTAGATGTTTAGATTGTAATTAATCTTTATGCAGCTAGGTGCTTCTCGTCCATGGGATACAATTTCAGATTAACAAATATTACTGTTCGATTACGTTTTCAAATGATTATTTATTTATCATTAGAGTATGCGCGACTATTTCCGACTATTAATGATAATTCAAATATTTGTTGTTGTATTCCGTCGGTAAGTGTCACTAGATTGATACTTTAGATATCAATCACTGATTTTAACACGTTTAATAAAAGACAATGATAGCCTCTCGTTGTTTGCCTTCATTATAAATTTTATGATTTGTCTATTACAGTCGATTTCTAACATATGGATAGTCAAAATGAAATCTAGTCTTCGCCATTTATTGCACTAATGTGAAACAGTTTTTCATTTGGTATTTTCACTTATTGCTTACTGAGAAAGATTCAAACATTAGACTCAAAATTGAGAAAATTTGTGAAACTTTTGTTTTAATGACTTGACAACTATTTTGATCATCATAACCAGAATGTATTTAACATATGTACTGAATAATACTTGACCTCGGTTCTAGTATCAAGTTTATAAGAGCTTACCTCACTTCTGGTAGCAATCACCCGAAATAATGATTTGTAAGGATGATAGATTTTTTGTCTTTTTCACACATATATGTCCACATTTTAATTAAAAATATATTAGAGTGTTTATTCAAGCAAATTCTATTTCATTAAGTACAATGTGTTGAATTACACGAAATTGTTCACGTTATTGTATTAGAAGGAAAAAATTATATCGATCTTTTTATTGCGAAAAATAAACAAGTTCGTGTTATATAAATATTCTTTTTGTTGACAATCCGAGAAAAGTTGGTGAAAAACATTTCATTATTATAATTAAGAAAAGGCTGCCTCAAGGTAGAAACAATAACATAGTGGCGCTCGCATTATATTAAAAAACAACATTCAGTAAAACATAGTTTATTTTTATGAACATGTGATATTGAAAAATCTAATTATATTACGTAATAAATACATACACTAGTCTAAATTTTTCGTAATAGAGTTTCGTAATGACGAATTAACATTGAAAATAAACTAAAAAGTAGATAAAGCAGATTGTCTGTGGTGCTTTCCATACCAAAACTTTCCAATTCGATATATATTAGTTTCTATAGGATATTGAAATATTACACATTGAAGACTCTTCAAAAGATGCTATCTTCTATATATAAATTATTTTTTATCAGACGTGCTATAATTTTCTTTTTCTTAGGAGTGCTCAGAAAATGAATGCTGCTCGACTCAGGGATGTGTCTATTGCAATAGAAAACTTATTAAAATCATATGATATTCGTTTGAGACCATCGTTTGGAAGTATGCTGAGACTTTTGTACTCTATATAATACTAAGATATTAATCTCCTTCTTTTAGAAACACCGCTTCTTCTCGATATAGAAATTCGTCTAGGAAGTTTTGATAGTATATCTGAAGTAAATATGGATTATACGTTAACACTTTATTTAAATCAATATTGGAGAGATGATCGATTAGGTATAGAAAAAAAAATCTAAAATTGTTTCGATATGATGTTATTTAAAACTTTAGCAGTATTCATTTTTAAGCATTTGGCAATGTTAGTGAAGAAATGACATTGACTGGTGAAATTATTGATCGACTTTGGTTACCGGATACATTTTTTCCAAACGATAAAAGTGCTTATCTACATGATGTTACGGAGAAGAATAAGATGATACGTTTAACTGGTAATGGAGATATCGTATATGGAATGAGGTAAAATTACTCTTTTCTCTCATCGTATAACTACTAGCGACTAGTAATAATTGATACGAATTATTTAGATTTACAAGTACTCTGGCGTGTATGATGGACTTGCGCCGGTACCCGTTAGATCGTCAAAATTGTACTGTTGAAGTTGAATCATGTAACTGGTTCTTAGGGATATTGTTACAAGTATTTTAATAATTCTTCAAAATTTCAGATGGATACACTCAAGCTGATGTGATTATGCAATGGAAAAATGGAAAACGATCTATATTGGATTTGGATAAAGTACAATTACCACAGTTTACAATAATGGATTATAATACAATTTCTTACGGCATGGATCTAGCAACAGGTCGGTGCAAGACCATTCTTCTTTTAAATTCCTATAACTTGATTATTTCAAGGTGTTTATCAACGATTATCGTTAAGTTTCATATTACAACGAAATATTGGCTATTTTCTATTTCAAACATATTTACCATCGATTTTAATCGTCATGTTGAGTTGGGTGAGCTTCTGGATTAATCATGAAGCAACCTCAGCTCGTGTAGCCCTAGGTATAACGCAACAAATTATAGAGATAAAATAGTTCATTATTAAACTTTTGTTGTAGGAATAACGACGGTTTTAACAATGACTACAATCAGTACCGGTGTTCGGTCATCTCTTCCGAGAATATCTTACGTAAAAGCAATAGATATTTATCTCGTTATGTGTTTTGTTTTCGTGTTTGCTGCTCTACTCGAATACGCAGCTGTCAATTATCTATATTGGGGCACACGAGCGAAGAGAAGAAAAAGAAAAGCTGCAGAAAAAATAAAACAACAACGATGTGTAAGTAGAGATGTGCACGAGTATCTCGTTTACGTAAAAAATCCCATAGGATTGTGATCAAAATTTTGAACAGCAGAATAAAAATTCACGAGTTTTCCAAATTATTTTCTGCTGCTATATCAACTTGTTATATAAATATTTGATGAGGATAATTCTTTCCTGAAAAATATTCAATCTCAATGACGTTGATCGTATTCTTTTGAAAATGATAAGATTTTTCAGAGTGGCTGATTTTTATACACTGCACTATAACCAAAACACTCGCTGAACCAAAAGTAAAAACAGCTTGATTTCGCAAATGGCTATGTGTAAAACAGAGTATTAGTCGAATAAGTAATATTAAGACATATTTTCTCGCTCGTAGGAAGAATTTGAAATTGAGGAAGAAACAGGCGGACGTAGTTCACCAATATTAAGTTTACGGAACAGAACTGAATCAAATCATTCAAGAGAAAACTGTTTAATTCAACGTAATGTTGTTGAAGACGAACAGACTCCTCAACCACCACGATTAAATACGATTATTCGTGGAAGTATGTTATACGGCAAAACATTTTTATCATCGCCACCATCACGTATTAAATCCGTACAAAAACGTTCGAGAGCCAATCGATTTGTTAGTGCTGTGAAATTGAAAGCAAATACCGTTACAAAAAGTTTACCCCATGTACATGACGTTAATGACATCGACAAATGGTCTCGATTATTCTTTCCAGTTTTATTCGTTATATTCAATATATTTTATTGGTGGTATTATATGTCGCGTTCGACACATAATACGATATAAATAACGTAAAGCCATTTTCTTTTCTACTGTTTTTTGTTTCATCTCTCTGATCGTTTTTTTAAACAATCGATGTACTACTTGCTATTATTTTTAAGTATAAGAAATAATTCACTGTTTGGAAAGAATGTTTTGAGACGAAAATTAAAGTACAAGGGTAGTTTCAGTTTAGCGGAGCGGATCATTTTATAGGCCTCTAGTATCTCTAGAGAAAGAGGATGTATTGAGATGTATTACTATTACAATTGCGATTTGTTCCACATTCATCCGATTGTATTTCACAGAGAAAAAGGAAAAAAATATACTATTTCTCACTAAGTAATCTCGTGGAGTTGGACGAATGTGAAATAAATCTCAATTGCAATACATCTTAATGTATTCTCTTTCTCTATTCAAATGCTTGAGGCTTAATGCTCTGATAAGCAATCAAATCCCCATAGTATAATACAAAGAACGGCTTAGTTGAATTGATAATTCATATCCATTCATAAAATAACACGATTACTTTTAGCACTACAAAAGTAATCGTCTACAAAGTGATTTAAACAATAAATATTTTAGATATAAAATCATAACGCTGGGCATTCCGATCACATGGTGCGTGTTCTCAAGAATGCAGAGGGATATCCTGATAATCGTTACTGAATTATTATTCAGATTACGACATATATATCGCGGAGATTTTTGAAAGATGTCTTTTATGCTTAAAATAAATGGTGTCGTTCCAATTTCATACAATTATCTAAATAATATATGACTGATACTGTACGATATTCATGTAAATAAAGGACGATACTACCCCAGAAAATCGATTTTGTGATTTTTCGCTGAATGAGTATAGGTTGAAGCGTCCTCCTTAATAATCCATACCAGTTTTTAACCTACAGTGCCTTTTTACGCTTTCAAAAACATTTTATAAAAGCCTGTTGAAACCAACTATTTTATCGTATGTTAATACTAATTTTACTTTCAAATATGTACATTTGTTAAACAGACGGTCCTCGTTAAAATAAATAAAGAGATCGAAAGCATCTTGATGATTTTAATAACTAACATAAAACAATCTAAAACTACTGTTGCAAGATGAATAGTAGGTGTTGTATCTAAAAACATTCGATCAATTTCATTGAGCGACTAATTCTCGTAGCGATCAATTTTCGTCACTCCGCCTGTAACTAAACGAACTGTGTTGCATATCAACCAGTCTCATTT